GATATGCTTATAATTTTTTACTGTCTATGTAAAAGTTATTAAATACATATCAAATTAATTTCTTTAATTAAATGAGTTTTTTGTGACTGATTTGAAAAGTAAATATGAATTTCATTAATTTAAATTAATTAAAAAAATGAACTTTTCAATAAAAAATATTCTTTCAACATTACCTCTATATATAATATGTATATATATATATATCAAATATGCCAAATGTTTGATGGAAAGTATAAGTCTGACATATATATATATATAAGTATATATGTATATATATATATATGTATATATGTATATATATATAATTACATATATTTGGTAAATCTGAGAGATTTCCCTTTCTGCAGTTTTTTAGATTGTATATTTCCAATTGCCGGTTTTGCTTTTTTGTAAATATTTCTTGGTTACCTGTTGTCTTCTTTGTTTGTAAACAAATGAAGGAAATAATAAATTCTGTTTCCAGAAAATCTTATAGGTCGCCAATTATAAAATTACCTTCTGGCTTTTTTTTTTCCGAAATTTTTTTTTTTTTTTTTTGTATATATATTTTTTGTTTTTTATTGGTTAAATAATATAAAAATACAAAATAAAAACAATTTTATTTTTTTATCTGTTTAAATAATTGATAGATATTTATATTTAGTAGATAATGAAGTGGGTTGTACTTGTTTATTTTCTGTATGTAGAAATATAAAATATTGTAGACGTTTTATAAAAGGATTCTGTTAGGTTGAAATATGGTGGCAAAATTTTGGGTTTGGCTGAGAAGAAACTGAGGATAGATTTTACAGGATGATAGAGAGACTGACAATTTTAGATAAAAAAACAGACTGAGATAGATAGATAGATAGGTAAATAGATAAATAGATAGACAGAAAGATAGATAGATAATGAACAAACTGAGACAGATAGATAGATAGATAGATAGATAGATAGATAGATAATGAACAGACTGTGATAGATAGATAGACAGAAAGAAGATAGATAGATTTCCATTAGATAGATAATTACAAATTGAGATAGATAGATAGATAGATAATGAGAAGATAGATAGATAGATAATGAATATAAAATCTAGATAGATAGATAATAGATAATAGATTAGATGTGATAGATAGATAGATAGATAGAAAGATAGATAAATAATTAGATAGAATGAATAGATAGATAGATAGATAGATTAGATAATGAACAAATAGATAGATAGATAATGATAAATAGATAGATAGATAGATAGATAGATAGAATAATGAACAGATTGATGATAGATAGATAGATAGATAAAAATGAATTGATAAATGTGATATTCAAGATACATAGATAGATAGATAGATAGATAGATAGATAGAAAACAATCTGAAATAGACAGAAAAATAGAAAGAAAATAAATTTTATAAAAATAGATATTAATTATAAATAAATGGATGATAATATATATTTTAAATAAAACAGAAAAGATAGATACAAAAAAAACTAATATAGAAGATATATAGATAGATATAGACAGATAAAAATGATTGATTTAGAATAGATAAAAAACAGATAGATATTATATAGATATATATATATAATAGATAAAAAAAAGAAAAAAATAAATAGATAATTTAAAAGAAGATATATAGATAGATAGATTTAGATAAATAAAATAGATAGATAGAATATATAGATACATATAGATAGATAGATAGATGAATAGATAGATAGATAGATAGATAGATAGATAGATGAATAATAAATAATAATAGATAGATAGATATAATAGATAGATATATAATATATGAATAAATTAAATATATAGATAGATATATAGATAGATAGATATATAAATATATAGATAGATAGATAGATAGATATATATATAGTTAAAATACATAGATTTTAGATAGATATATATTTAGATAGATAGATATTGTAGATAATATATAAATATATGTATAAAACATTCTGATAGATATTTTGAAATTAAAAAAAAATAAAAAAAAGAATGAAAAACATGAAAATCAAAAGTTTATTTGATATGTACAAATGGATGCATTCAAATAAAACAATTAAGAAAAGTGAAAATTTTTATAAAAAATATGTTAAGGAATTAATCGATAGAAACTTTGGAAAATAGTTGGTCTGAAAAAAAAATAGGAAAATGATTTTTGGGGTGTATTCAAAATCAAGACTGTTGAATATTTATCCTAAATATTTTTTTTTCGGTTATTTTATTTCAATTTAATGAAAAAAAAATTGTTTTTTTACTTTTGAAAATATAAAAATTATTTAAAAAAGGCAATTTTCCAATTTCTTTATATTAAAGAATTATTTGTAATAAACTTGTTATGTTTTTAAATAAAACTAAAAAAATATCTTGAATTTTTTGCATATTTAAATGGTCCAACTTATTTCCACTTTTGCAAAGTTTTTCTCGTTTAGATTCTTTAACAGACCGAAGTCTTGACTTTTGGAAGTTTTAGTATATATATATATATATTATATTTTATAGATATTTGTTGAATTGTGTGTTCCCTGAGTTTTTAAATTTGCTTGATAACAGATTTTACTACAGACAAATTCTTTTTATTATAATCTTGTTATGAAAAAATATCTTTTTTTAAAAAAAAAAAAAATGAAAAATTTAAAAACAAAATAAAGAAATGTAAAATTTTATTAACAATTCATTGAAATAAAACTGTTTTCATATATTAATCTAGGAACTCATAAAAAAATAAGAGAAATTGAGAGAAAGGTAAATAAAACCTTGGGGATTTGCATATAAACTCTAGAAAATTTTTCTTTTCCCAGATAATAGATATTTAGAAAATATATATATAAAAGAAAACCTTACATTTAGAAAATAAATGATTTCTTATAAATAAATGATATTTGCCCTCGTCAACATAAATTTTGTCGATTCTAGATGTTCTGTATTGAGATTTAAATTATATATATATATATATTTTTTTGATTCTTGAATTATATAATCAGTATATACATATATATATATATATATATATATATATATATATATATATATATATATATATTGATATATTAAATATTTATAGATACGAAGATTCAAAAGAAGCAAATTTTGAATGAATTTTGATTCGAACGAGATCTCCTTTAGGACTTATATTGTTTTAAAATTACATAGTTCTTTTCTTCTACTACAGATGTTTTTCACCTAGAAATTTATATAAAATTTAATTTTTTTTATTTAAATTTTTTTTTTATTTTATTTATTTATTGTTCTTTGTATTTAAAAATATATATCATTTATGTTTTAACTTATAAATATATATATATATTTTTTATTTTTTTAATTTATAACATTTTTTGAATTATGATAATTGATTTTTTTCATCATTTTTCTTGAAAGTCTTTCTTGTTTTATTGAATGTTTTTTTTATTTTTGATATATAAATTGAATATGATAATTTTTTATATACCACATTTTTATTTAATGTCATTTTTAAATTGAATTAATAGAAATTATAATAATAAAAAATATATAATATATTTTTAATTTTTTTTATTTATTCTTTTTATAGATACAAATATTTAAATAAATGCTCTGTTTATAATAAATAGTATTAAATTTTAACATTTACCGGCCTGAATGTCCGAGAAATCTTCATAGAAAATATTCGTCCAAATAGATTCGAACCTGTATCCTAATAATACCGTCATTTAGCGAAATATATATATTCATTAATTTGAATAAATGTATTTGAAAAAGATTTCCCTTTATTACACGAGGACCATATATGAACTTCAATCTTTATTTCTCTATTTATTGGTAAAAATCAAAAAATATCATGTGTATATATACATATGTAAACAAATGACGTCTCAATTTTAAATAAAAAAAGGCCGACAATTATTTCTTATAATATGAAAATATTTAAGATAGATTCTAAGATTGAAGTTTAAATCGGAATAGAAAATGAAAATGTTGTTTAATAATTTTATTATAAAACAGAGCATTTACTTAAATATTTGTATCTATAAAAAGATTGTATAAACATTTAAAATTATCTTAAAATAATTGAAAAAATTTTTTTCTCATATATATATATATATATATATATATATATATATATATTTATTGTTATTAGAAACAAATAACGAGATATTAGCAAATTTATATGCTTATCATGCAATTTAGATTTTGGTTTCACAACTCGTCAGGCACAAATGGTAAAAAAAAACACTTAATACAATTGATTTAAAGAAATACTGGATCCTTAATATGAAATTCTAAAATATTTTTTTTCAAAATCCAAAGGATATAATAAATTAATATACTATTGGGGTATAAATTCAAAATATAGATATGATGAGGAACATGATTTGAAAACAGGTGCATACTTTAATCAAAAATATATATATATAAAATGGTATATATATAAATATATATATATATATATAAGAATGCCAAATTGATTGCATCTAGCATTAAACAGACTGTCGCCTCTAAGTGTTGACTTCTATGTTTACTTTTATATTTACACACGCTCTATCTCTGATATTGAGCATTTTATCCCATAAATATAGCACATCTTAAGATTATATTTATATATATATATATATATATTTGAAAAAAAAATATTAATCATTCCATTGTAATAGTTTATTTCACCATAGACCTTTTAAAGGAATATGGGGATTAACATCATTTTTTCCTTTTGAAAGTGATGTCTGAAGATCCATGGTAAAAAAAAAAATAAAAGTCTTGGGTCGAAATAAACTATTACAATGAAAACTTTTTAAAGTGGTCTGTTTTTTTTTAAATTATTAGCTCTGAATTTACATTGAACTCTCAGGATTTCAAAAAAATGGATTTACCAAATACGGATTACCAAGTTTTTCATATAACTTAACTATATATATATATATATATATATATATATATATATATATATATATATATTTTCATTTTGAAATATGTAAGTCTGAAAAGAAGCAAAAATGTAAATACTGAGTAATATTCAAGTAACATTTTCAAAATAATAAATGAATATTGTCTAAAATATGATCAGATTGTTATGTTTTGGGATAGACGTATGTGGTGTACATCTTCAAAAACGTGTGGTAATAGATTTAACTGTTTTCTCATCTTGTATTTTTATCCATTCATTTATTCCTTCATGTATAATACGCGTATTAGTATGATATAGATTCCGAGTAAAAGTGGAGAAAAGTAGAAACGTTTTTTAATGATAATGCGTTTTGCTTTCCTGTGTTAGGTTGACATTTTGACCTGAAGATGCCAACTGAACACATCAAGTCGAAACGCATTCTCTTTAAAACGTTTTATCATATACTAGCAGGAGAGCCCGGCGTTGCCCGGGGATGTAACAGTAAGAGATAGATCAAGTATCGGCCATCATAAAGACTGAAAAATAAAATTGACAAAGATTATTGTTTAAGGTTGACGGACACGCATGTCTTAATTAGTTTTTTTTTTTTTTTTACGAATTGGTCAAACCCAAACTCAAACAAAAACATTGTTTTCAATCGTTATGAGTTTACCGATTGAATAGAATTTTATTATAAACAATTGTCGTGTAAATGGAATTTTTAAAGCATTCTGAATGTAAAAATAAAGAAAAAAATGTGCAAGACAATAAGAAACACTACCTGCCAAAAAAAAAAAAGTGAAGTTTTGTTGAAATCGGTTGAAAAATGTAGGAAATCCAATCCCATATATAAACAAACACACACACACACACACAACCTGGGTTTTATAATAAGTATAACTCGATATGAGTTGTCCCCTTTCATTCTCGCGATTAATTAATCGTGTTTTCAAATTGATTTCGTGCAAAAACAATTGTGTTTTTCCAATTTTGGGCGCTGTTAGAACCACCGCAAGGTAATTTTACGTAGTCCTGTGAAGTTTTGTTGAAAATCGGTTGAAAAATGTAGGAAATCCGATCCAATATATAAACGTACAGACACACACACACACACAATCTGCGTTTTATAATAAGATATATATATATATATATATATATATATATATATATATATATATATATAACTTCTCTGTATTCAGTCCTTCAAAATGTGTGGATGGTTCTGCAAAAAAATTTCCTTCACCACTATAATCAAATCTCATGTGCTGGTGTCGGGCTGTCAGTTTCCTAGAACTAATCTGCTTAACCATCATACGTCGAATTCGATGAGACGGGATTCAGGAATATATATATATATATATATATATATATATATATATATATATATAGTTACCAATTTAAACTTTATTTTTAGTGGCTACTTGTATTTGAGTAACCACTATTTATTTTTCCCTACGGCCTGAATGTTTGAGAAAAGGAAAAGTTGCGTTGTTCGACAGCAATCGACTCTGTGACCCACAGGTCAGAAGGAGCTACCGTTTAGCCCGGTACGCCTTACCGCTTGGACACGAAGAACAAATGGTCAGGCGAAGTCAATTTCATGTTTTCAAACGAAAGCGATAAAAAAAAATCTGTCGAATTAATAATAAAAATTCATTCTAAAAGTTCTCTTAGTTTATGTTTGGATACGAAAGGATTTGCAGGTATGAAAAACTTCGAGAGATCTATGACGGGAGAAATTTCGCTTGAAAGCATGAAATTTAGACTTCCTTGTTCTTCTTGGCCAAGCAGGCAAAGCGTACAGGGCTAAGCAGTAACTCCATCTGTCCTGAAGGGTGCAGGTTTCATTCCTGCTGGAGGACGCAAATTTTTCTTTAATAAGACTCAATCCGGTAGACCAAAATAAATAAATATATTGTTTAATAAATAAACGGGGCGTCTACTTAAATACGAGTATCCACTAAAGAATAACGTTTAAGTAATAAATAATAACATTAAATGATATCATGTCGGATTAATAAATAAAAATCGATTCCTTTCTTTATATATATTAATTTTTTTTTTACAAGGTGACCTATATAATATTTTGGTGTTATCTGTTAAAATTTGTCTTATGTTAATATGATTTTGATTGTCTGTGATATTTTGATCTATATGTGCGCGAATTGCACTAGATTTTGACAAATCAGCCTCAGGTTAATTAATGTTGCTTGTTGATTATATATATATATATATATATATATATATATATATATATATAGATAGATATAGATAGATAGATAGATAGATAGATAGATAGATAGATAGATAGAAATGGACAGATTTAAATAGATACATAGATATGAACAGACTGAGATAGACAGATAGATAGATAGATAGACTGGAAGATTTAGATAGATATGTACAGACTGAGATAGATAGATAGAATAGATAGATAGAAAGAAATGGACAAATTTAAATAGACACATAGATATGAACAGACTGAGATAGATAGATTTTATATAGATAGATAGATAGATAGATAGATAGAAAGAAATAAAGATAGATAGATATATTTATACATAGATATGAACAGACTGAGATAGATAGATAGATAGATAGATAGATAGATAGATATAAATGGATCAGATTTAAATAGATATATATACATAGATAAATATAATAGATGAGATAGATAGATAGATAGATAGATAGATAGATAGATAGATAGATTTTTCGAGAAGATAGATAGATAGATAGACAGAAAATTAGTAAATAGATAGATAATTTAGATAGATATAGATAGATAGATAGATAGATAGATAGATAGATAAACAGAAAGAAAAGATAGATAGATAGATAGATAGATAGATAGATAATAGATAGATAGATATGGATAGATTTAGATAGATGTAGATATTAAAATAGATATATTCCAATAATAATTGGAATCCTAAAATAAATAAAAATAAAATGATTAATAAAAATCCATTCTAAAAAATATTAATGTTTTAAATGTTTGATACGAAAGATAGACAGATAAAAAAATAAAAAGAATCTGTGATAGAAATAAAATTCATTTGAAGATAATCCCATGGATTTAGATCCAAACCATTTAATTTGATCAAAATCGACCAAATTTTATCTTATAAAATTTCAACAGCCAAAAGATGAAAAAAATAAAAGCAGACATCACCATTGTTAAAAAATATAATTTGAAAAAAAAAAAAAATTCTTCAACGATGTGGGCTTTATTTGATATCATAATGAAATATATTACAGAAATTGAAAAAAATCCTTAAGATTAAGATATTTAACGAAAAAATTTTCAAATATTATATTGATAAATAATTTAGATATCCTTAGATAGGCGTCAATAATATATATATATAAAAGATAAATATTATAAAAAATAATGAATAAAGCCTTAATATTCCATCGATTAATTTGATTTCAATTGTTCAGATAGATATATATTCTGAAAAAGATGAGGTTGTCTTGAATGATGGAGAAATATTTATTATTATAAAATGTTGGAAAGGGATAAATTGCTCATTTTTTTTAAATGCCGGGAAATTTTTTTATATAAATAAATTTGATATAAAATAAAAAAATGATTTTCTGTGCATAAGCAAATCAATTTGGCTTCAAATTTTTTTTTTTTTTTATAAAGTAGGAAATTTTCAAATTTTGAAAATTTACTACCAAAAAAAATCCTATTAAAAATTATAAATTTATTGAATCTAAAATATTTTAATACAAAAATATGTACATAATCATAAATTTTTAAAACCTTTGGATGGAGATGAATTAAATATTTTTATTATGGATTTTTTTTTTTAAAAATGAATTTTTTTTTTGACCATTTGGTTTATTTTAATTTTATTTGAAAATTAAGAATTTGAAAAAAATATATAAATTTCTGATTTTAAAATACAAAAAAAAAATTATAATATTTCTATTAATTTATAAATTGTTTTTTTTCTTCAAAATATTTTTAAAATGATTTGAAACTTTTTGGGTCAAATTAAAATTTAAATTTTTTTTTTTTTTCTTTCTATCTATTTTCTTTCTTGATCTGATCTATCAAAATCTTTTCATCTATCTATCATCTAAAATAAACTTTCATCTCTAATTCAATATCTATTTATAAATTTCATTTCTATTTGATCTATTTATCTATTTATCTATCTATCATTAAATCTATCTATTTCCATTAAGATAAAAAAAAATGAAAAAATTCAGATTTTGAAAATTTAAAATTTTTTTCTATTTGGCCATATTATTTTTTAACCAAAGGAAAAAAAAACAAATCAAACTATTATTTTCATTTAAAGGGCATATTAAAAAAATCGTGTTTTTATTTCAGATATCTATTTCATTTTATTTTAATTTATCTATCAAATTTTTTTCTATCTTAAACTATTTAAATTTCTAAAAGTCTATATGATTTGGGCAAAATTATATTGTCAACAAATTCATTTTTTAAAATATTTTTATTATTAAAAATTAAATCTATAATATCTATCTATTATATTTAATTAATTTCTTATCTATAATATATATTAAAATAAATTCATATTTAATATATATATATTTTTATCTATTTAATTATCTATTAAAATTTATTTATAAATTAAAATAATTTTTTTTATTCAATTAAAAAAATTTAATATAAATATTAAATCAAACTTCTAATATTCATTTTATATTTTTTAAAATATATATATATATATATATATATAAATATATCAATCTATTCTATCTATCTATATATCTATCTATTATCTATTCATATCTATCTAATTTTTTTTTAAAACAAAAAAAAAATTAAAAAAAGAATTTTGTAAATGGATTTTTTTTTTTCAAATAAATATGTTTTCAAAATAATATATATGAAATTTGAATATAAATTTAATATATATTTAGTAAAATATTTCAAATCTTTTAAATTTTTTTTATTAAAATGGATAATGAATATGGAAATTTTAAATTTTTTAAAAATATTTTCATGTTAGGGGATTTTCATAAAATAAGACAAAAAATTTTTTTTTGTTCAAAAAATTTTCATTTTCCTGAAATTGGATCATTTTTTTTCATCCAAAATTTTACTTGATTTTTTTGATGTTGTTTTATTTAAAAATCATGCTGTCAAAAAAAGTTTTTATTTACTTTGTTTATTTTTATTAAAAATAATTATTTGGTTCTTTTGACAGATAATCAGAAGCAGATGCTTTTGAAAAAATTTGAATTTTTTTCAATTCAATTATACAAATTTTTTTATTGTAAAATAGGTATTTTAATTTTGTTCCACTAAACCAGATATTGGTTAACAAAAAATTATTTATTATTTATATTTCGACATTTAAATTTTTATTTCAAAAATTTTTTTTTTCTTCCTCTTAAAAATACTTTCGTCTGTTTCGTGGAATTTGAAAAAATTCAATAAAAAAAAAAAAAAAAAAAAAAAAAATTTTTTTTCATTAATTAATGATGAAAAAAAAGGAAATGAAATAGTAAATTAAATTTTTTCTGTTATTTGTAAAATAAAATTAAATGGGAAAAATTTGAAAAATTTTGAAAAAAGTAAATTTTTAAAAGATATAATCAATTAATTTTTTAATTTTAAAAAATAATTTTTTTCGATACATATGTTTATTTTCTATTTATTTATATTATATGTTTAAAAAAATTTAAAATTTATATGTATATAAAATATATATATTTATTTAACATTAATATCATATTTTTTTGTAAATGAAAATTTTTTTTAGAAGAATCGTTCAATTATATATATATACTATATATATATATATATATATATATTTTGAAAAAGAAATAAGTTTTTTTACAGTAACTTTGATGGAATTCAATTAATTAATTGAAAAAAAGTAATTTTTATTAAATGAAAAATTAAATGAATAAAACGAAAACGATCTAAAACAATTTTTTAAAAATATATTTTTTTTTGTATATATATATATATATATATATATATATATATAAATATATATATATATATATATATAAAAAATTAAACTTAAATTTTTTTACTAAAAAAAAAAAAAATAAAATTTTTTTATTTGTTTAACTGATCAAAATCAATCTCGATCAGGAAAAAAACAAAAAAAAAGAAATTATAAATTTATATGAAAAAAGAAATGGAAAAATCAAAAAATTTTAAATACATTTTTGAACAAAAGAAAAAAAAATATTTTTATTTAAACATTTAATAAAAATTTTAAAGCTCAAAAAAAATTTTATATCTAGAACACAATTTACATCAAAATTTTTCTTTTTTTTTAAAAATTTTAAATATTTCATTTAAAAATTTTTTATTAGGAAATGATATATTTAAAAATAAAATCAGCTTTCAGATATTAAAAAAAGTAAAATAAATTTATTAAAATTTTTATATTTTATTATATATATATATATATATTTATTTTATATTTTAAATATATATTTTATATCTATTTAAATTTTTGATTATATATATTGTCCTATATTTGTTTAGTTTAATTTTTTAAAGTATTTAAATATGATGAATATATATATATATATTCTAAATATATTTATATAAATTTATAAATATATATATAAAATATATAAATATATTTGCATTATAAACATATAAAACCATGAAATTTTTTTTTTATTTTATATAAAATTGATGAAAAAGTTTAACAAAATTTTATCGGTTAAAATTATATATAAAAAATATATAAATAAAAGCATTTTTTTTATTTTCATATATATATATATATATATATATATTTAAATATTATATAAAATATAAAAAAGGAATTAAATCAATTTTTAATAAAAAATTTAAAAAAAAAAATTTTTTTTTTTTGAATTTATAAGTAAATAAAATATATATTCTAATATTTATACATATATTATTTATCATTTTTGATTTTAATTATATTTATATATAAAAATTTTATTAAAAATTTTTTTTTTTTTAAAATTGAATGATCAATAATTTCTATAATTTTGAAAAAATTCCCCAAATGACATTTTCCTGGTATTTTTTCTGAATTTTAAATTTCATTTTTGCGAAATTAAAATGGATTCATTTTATCAAAATTTTATTATCAATCCATTTAAATTTATTTTTAGATTTAAAAAATAAATATTCTAAGAAAAAAAAAAATTTAATTTTTTAAAAAAATATTGTTAAAAATAATGTTTTATTTACATTTAAAATATATATATATATATATATATATATATATATATATATATATATATATATATATATATATCATCGAACAGCAAAATTGTCCAAATCGTGTAACAACAGCATGGGATAATTGTCCATCCCACAAAATGTTTAATATCTAAAAAAAACCAAACTAATTGAGTTTTTTTTTTCCAGGTTTTTCAGATAAGACGTTTAGCCATCTTGATACCATTTGTTGTAAGAATCACTGAAAAAACCTTTTGAGTTATTCAGCAAAAAAGAGAACAGGTTAAAATCATTTTGTGTCAGCCCCACTGTCTTCCCCAACTGAGCAATGGTGAGAGGAAAAAAAAATCATTCAGGCCTTCAGTAATCGTACCAACATTCATACTCTGGCTTCCATCTTCAAAGTCCATTCAAGAACCACCAAGAGAACGGTAAATAAGTTTAAAAGAGGGAACAGTAGAGAGGAAAACTGGATC